TATATGTTATATTCATTGGAATTGACCAACACTCAACAATGAGTATATGTTACATTCATTGGCACTGATCAAGACTCTACAATGAGTATGTATTACATTCATTGGCATTGACCAAGGCTCGTCAATGAGAATATGCTATATTCATTGGATCGATCAACATTCTACAATGAGAATATGTTACATTCATTGACATTGACCAACACTCTAATATAAGTATATGTTATATTCATCGGCATTGACCAACGTTCTACAATGAGGATGTGTTACATTCATTGGCATTGACCAACACTCTACAATGAGTATGTGTTACATGCATTGGCATTTCCAACACTCTAAAATGAGTATTTGTTATATTCATTGACATCGACCAACACTCTAGAATGAGTATTTGTTATATTCATTTTCATTGACCAACATTCTACAATGAGTATTTTCCTATTCATTTTCATTGACGAACTCTCTACAATGAGTATATATTATATTCATTGCCATCGTGTAACATTCTAAAATGAGTATGTGTTACATTCATTGGCATTGACCAAGCCGCTACAATGAGTATGTGTTACATTAATTGGCATTGACCAAGAATCTACAATGAGTATATGTTATATTCATTGGCATCGACCAACATTCTACAATGAGTATGTTTTACGTTCATTTGCATTGAACAACACTCTAGAATGAGTATTTGTTATATTCATTTTCATTGGCCAACATTCTACAAGGAGTATTTTTATATTCATTTTCATTGAAGAACTCTCTACAATGAGTATATGTTATATTCATTGGAATTGACCAACACCCTGCAATGAGTATGTTATATTCATTGGAATTGACCAACACTGTAAAGTGAGTATATGTTATATTCATTGGAATTGACCAACACTCAACAATGAGTATATGTTACATTCATTGACACTGACGAATACTCTACAATGAGTATGTGTTACATTCATTGGCATTGAACAACACTGTAAAGTGAGTATATGTTACATTCATTGGCATTGACCGACACTCTACAATGAGTATATGTTATATTCATTGACATCGACCAACATTCTACAATGAGTATGTTTTACGTTCATTTGAATTGACCAACACTCTAGAATGAGTATTTGTTATATTCATTTTCATTGACCAACATTCTACAATGAGTATTTTTATATTCATTTTCATTGACGAACACTCTACAATGAGTATGTGTTATATTCATTGGCATCGACCAGCATTCTACAATGAGTATGTGTTACATTCAGTGGCATTGACCAAGACGCTACAATGAGTATGTGTTACATTAATTGGCATTTACCAAGACTCTACAATGAGTATATGTTATATTCATTGGCATCGACCACAATTCTACAATGAGTATATGTTATATTCATTGGCATCGACCAACATTCTACAATGAGTATGTGTTACATTCATTGGCATTGACCAAGACGCTACAATGAGTATGTGTTACGTTATTGGCATTGACCAAGATCTGCAATGAGTATATGTTATATTAATTGTCATCGACCAACATTCTACAATGAGTATGTGTTACATTCATTTGCATTAACAAACACTCTAAAATAAGTATATGTTATATTCATTTGCATTGACAAACACTCTACAATGAGAATATATGTTATATTCATTGCCATCGACCAACATTCTAAAACGAGTATGTGTTACATTAATTGGCATTGACCAAGACGCTACAATGAGTATGTGTTACATTAATTGGCATTGACCAAGACTCTACAATGAGTATATGCTATATTCATTGGAATTGACCAACACTCTAAAATAAGTATATGTTATATTTATCGGCATTTACCAATACTCTACAATGAGTATATGTTATATTCATTGGCATGACCAA